CTTGGTCATAAAAGATTCACATAACATTCCTTTTCTGATAATTGTACCCATGAAAAACATTACAATACCTCATATTTTAGTACAGTGATAACAACAATAACTCTACTCTCATTCAAATTCTTACTACTATCAAAAATTACTACCATCTCTCTCAGCCACCACATAGCTTTAACAAAATCTCACTCATCAAAAAATCAAAGATTTACAATCCAAAAATATTTTGTAATCATAATCTTTCTTAATAACAGTAGCAGATAGTGAAAACTCAGGTTGACTATCAGAAGAAATAGTAGGTTCAGTCACTTTGGTTCTCCCATCAGATTTGGATTCACATTATTTACAAGTTTAGTATTCTAAAAATTCCCCAAAAAAAATTCAAAGCAACCCGAAGTTAAACCAATCTCAACGGTCAAATCTTTCCGGATTATTTTTGAGTAGAAACTTCGTCCCATCCGGATTAGCGGAAGCAACCCCTACCGAACGACGAAAATAACTTGCTATATAATAAATCACAAAATAAAAACACTCTAATAACATTCCAAAATATAATAAGGTATTCAAGTACAATTATGCACCTGTAAACTCATAAATACATTGGCCTTGTAAGTGGAATTTACCTTACACGTCGTTCTTTTTACCCATTCTATTTAATACTCATCGGGTTCTACATATAACAAGGACATTTTATCATGCAACATAACACCTAGTTTAAGTCTAGTATCAAACTGAATACCTAAATACCTTAAACTCAAGCTATTATACCAACTGTGACAAACCATAAATCCGCATAACATATAACACAAAATTTATACAATAACCACATTGGAGATACACATTGGGTCCCAGACTACAAAAGTATACATCTATCTGAAGTCTACTACAAAATTTTTCTAACAAAATTCTCGTACACAAGATTCCCAAAAAGTATGGGGTTCGAATTACTTCTTGATAGGCTGCGCATATAAAATTCAAATAGAAGATCTCATAATTTTCTTTTTTACCTTCTAAAATCTACTACCTTGAAATACATATTTTCAAAAATAAAATAAGGGTTAGACCATATAGCCTAGTGAGGAAATCTCTGTTAGTATAACATTTACAATGAAAACAGTTTACTTAAAACTTTTCAATTCAATAAACATATAGTTGACACCTAGTCACAATTCAATAGCTCTTAAGCATAGTTGCCACTTAAGCACAACCCGTCAATCACATAGTTGGCGCTCAAGCACAACCCTTCAATCACATAGTAGACGCTCAAGCATAACCTAATTAGTCGCAAATATAGTTGGCGCTCAAGCACAATTCCATCAGTCGCATGTATAGTTGGCGCTCAAGCACAACTCCATCGGTCGCATGTATAGTTGGCGCTCAAGCACAACTCTATCAGTCACATGTATAGTTGGCGCTCAAGCACAAGCCATAGAAACAAAACCTTAACACAAGTAACTATAGCATTAAACACATGCCAATACGGTATATAGTCTCATCATAAACAAGGGTATTACAATATGCCTTCTTCTTCTCTCTATGAACCCTCCCCCTCCCCTGTGTCTACACGGCACCAACAATGGCAGTGGAGAAAATATGTTGGGGAGAGGTGGATTTGGGGTTGTTTATGAGAAGGAACTATGAGACTAAGAAAGAGTGACACAAATGGAATGTGGTGTGATAAGGAGATAAGGTCAAGAACTCGGTCTAGGGCTTACTAGTTTCCTCGAACATCGAAATAGATAATACCAGTGACAACCCACAACAAATGAGTTTTGTTGTGGGTTAGGCCGACATCTCAAACAACGACACCAATATTTACTTTTTAACCCAAATCACTCCAAACCAACCGCAATTCTTACACCATTTTGGTGTTTATGAATAGTATAACACCAGTTTTGTTGTTAAATTTTTATAATTATAACATGGTCCTTCACGTTTCATATTTAAGAGATTTTTGTTTATTTAATTATAAATGATATTTTGTTTATAATATTTCTTAATATTATATTATAAATTATATTTATATTAATTTAATGATGTTTACTTAATATAATTTTTTCTCTTTCAAGCTTATTTACAATGTTATTTTCTTCAATATAAAAATATAATAACATATATAAAGTAAAACACATCATTGGTATACGTTAGAATACGAGAAAATAAATTGATAAATAATGGGAAAAGAAATTTAAATAACACATAATAATAACAGAAAGAATCATGAGTGAAATTTGTAAACAACTTATAAATACTAAAAGGTATTATTAAAAATCTATAGAAGAAAAGAAATTTGGTGTAAAAAAAGAATGATGGGTCGGAAATAAATCGTTGTTGAAATATGCATGGACCAAACAGTCTAGTGAATTTCAGAGAAGATGAAGAGATTCGTGCCGAAAAAGGGTGTAGGGGTGCACAAAAAACTGACTAAACTGTCAACCCGCCCAACTGAAACCAAAAAATAGACCGACTAACCCAACTAAATCTAACCATATGTTTAATTGGTTTATAAGATATACAAACCGATTAGAATAGGATCACTTATGGTTTGGTTCATGACTGGACCAAACCCGCCAATCCAGATAAAATTATAATAATTAAAAAATTATTTTATTAATTACTAAAAAATATACCCACAGATAAAAGTACGTAGTCCATAGAATGACAATCCATTAACAATTTAATATTCTAGCTCATTAAGCAATCGTGACCCTATTAATCCAATACTACAATGAGTATAAGTTTTGTTTTTTAGCCGGGAAAATAGGGGGTTTCCAAGTCCACGGCCAAGTACTAGTGATTTGACTGTTGGCTAGACAACATGGATAAACTCAACACTAACGGAAAATTGGAGTCGGGATGAAGAAAACTATTGTTGCTGATTGATAGGCGTTTTAATTCAATATTCTTGTCATAATATGTATCTTGACATTTATAATTAAACAATTAGATATAAACTTAAATCATTGTAAGTAATAATTTTGAAGAGTTAACTATCAACCACTAATATTTGATTTATTGGCTTGAAATTGTAATACAATCAATTTTTTTGAAAATACGTTCAAACCGTCTAACACGAACCGACATGAAATGAGTTATGATTTTCCAAAGTGAAGTAGTTGAGTTAGTTTTTTCAAGTAACCTCAAATCACCCAACCGAGGTTCATCAAATCCTTATATACATATTTTTAATATATAATATAATCAAATTACAGTTTTTTTAAACAAAAACGAGTGAAAAACATAGAAATCCAAAACCGTTCTTAATTTAATAAATGAAAGTTAAGAACTATTACTGAGAAATAAGCAAAAAAGCAAACCATAGAGATAAATTTGTAATAGAAATTTGTCTAAACAAAAAGTGTACTTTAATTTATATTAAATCATACATTAAGGTGGTACTTACTGTTATGAGTCAATATTATAATTTATTTTTATCGGGTAAGATTGTAGTACCTCAAAAGAGTATTGTATGCAATAATTTACCCGGTAAGCACTTACCCAAGTAAGAGTCATCATCATCACTTACCGAATAAGACTCTCCATCTTTATCATTGTTTTTACTGGGTAAGATTTTTGACTCTTACCATGTTCATTTAGTAAGAAAAATTATCCGGTAAGTAAGTGTTTAGTAAACGTCCCTTAAATATTAAAGTTTAAGGAGGTTGAGGTTGAGGTTGAGGTTGAGGTTGAGGTTTGAAACACAATAAAACATAATTTCAATCATTGGTTTACATTTCGAGTACGGTTCTAAGAACATGTCATATGCCAATGCTGGGGGCATATTTGACATTACAATATCTCTTTTAAATCTCATTCCTACTCTCTCTTCATAGACCAATAATGTGTCCAACTTCAAAAAGAACAAGGAGACCAATTTGGACATTTTTAATTAGGTTATAAATTAAATAAAATAGAACTTAAAATACTAAAAAGCGCCTTTAGAAAATATGTGTATGCCCATGGTGTGCAAAGGTTAATAATATGACATTGAAGACGCATTTTGAACCACAGGGGCTATCATGACGCATTTTTTAGAACACTAAATAGAGCTATTGGTACCAAGTTCAATAGACTTGATTTTTTGTAAATGGTCCATTTTCTAATCTAGTCTCTGGTGAAGACGGCCAAACACGGCTCGAGACCGGCTAACGGTTATTGGGTCGGGACCAAGTATACTTTTTTGAACTGATAACCGAACCAATTTAAACAAGTTAATTTTGATAAAATTGGTCTGGCCTCTTATCGGACCATGAATTGAATACATGTTGGGCTTGTTTGAGTTTGCAATATACATAACTAAAACGGTAGAAGTGTTTCAAGTAGTGGCATCATTTGATTATAAAGAAATGTCACATGTTTAAGCCCTCTCATGGCTTCTTTTTCAAAAAAAATCAGGAAAAAAGAAACAAAAGCTACGGATAAAACCCAAAGTTAAAACTCAAAAAACTAAAAATTGAGAAACCGAAGATTCAAACCCACGTCCTTCCAAAGGTGAAACTTTAACAAGGTGACACAACAAACTTTTGTAACTAGTTTAGTTTCAAGAAATAAGTTACTGTGACACGGACACCTTTCAAAAACGTTCATTACGACAAAGACATTGAAGTGGTGAAAAGGATCACCGTATGCTCATCTATAGGTCCACCGGTGTCATTTTTCAAGTTTGAAAAGTAAGCGATATTATATCGGGGCTACTACAATTTTCCTTTTCAAAAATTTGACCCAAGAACCAAACAAAAACCGGTTTTTTAAAGTCTAGAACTAAAAACCAAATTGAACATAGATGGTTATGGATCGGTAAAAAAAACCCCGATCTAAGACTTCTTTGATCCAAAAAAAAAAACCGTTTTCGTCTAGTATGCTCCCAAAAAAGTCGAGTAAAATTGCCCGTAAACATAGACGAAATGACTCAATCGTTAAAATGGCAAAGTAAGGGTAGACACAACAACCATATGGATTACACCCGCACCTCTACCGCTGGGACATAATCAACGCACTCACAAGAGTTAACAAAACATGGTTTTTGCCATTATAGAATACAAATACACAACACAAATAACATCTTTTTGTACCTTCAAAACTCCACGGAATTAAATAAAGTCGAATCTTGAACTATCTAACCCTAACCCTATCCCTATCTAAGATGGCAAAACTAGAACAAGAAATGGACTCACGCTACATCAATGCTCGTTGTTGCAAATCACCTCACCAGCGGAATGAGCAAGTACTCGGCATAGAACAACTGCAAACACAACAAACAATTTTGTCCAATAGATGTATACGAATAATGGGATCATATACCGGTGGTTGATATATATTGGGCTCGGCTAGTTTGATGTTTATGTAAAAGAACCTAGAATGCGACATTATGGATTGTGTGTGTTTTGAAAACACACTAAGAAGCCGTAATCTTGAAAATGAATGAAAATTTAATTTGGTGCAGGTGCGGTGAGGGCGATCCTAAGGTTTTAGGTGTAATCTAATAAAAAGTAGTACTAATTCAATGTATAAAGTTCTTTCACCAAACAAGACTAATCTTTAAACCGAAAACTAACACCATCCGCGCTTTATAACGACAACAAAGGACAAACAAGTCATTTTAGTGTAAAATCACATCGTTCTTGTGTTTGAATCTCTCTCTCTCTCTCTCTATATATATATAGAGAGAGAGAGAGAGACAGAGAGAGAGGGAGGATCATATGAGAAGATGGTCAAAATAAGAGAACACAAGAAATCACATGTGATTTTGCACTGAAATCACATGCGATTACTGAACACGGTCCACATCAGGGTGTGCAGGCGACTTAGCCCGCAACGTAAGTTGCGACCAAGGTCACATGTAATCACGTAATTTTAGTGTGTAAGATCACATATGATTTGCCCATTTTTTGTGTTATCTTATTTTGTTATTGTTCTCCTTTGAACCAACTCTCTATATATATATATAGTTTGAAACATGATAACTTGTTTGCAAAAAATGTTAAAAGCACGGTCGTTCATAAAGTTAATCGGTTATACGTAAGGGACAGTAAGCATAGGTTTTAACTGCGTCACAATATCAATCACAAGTAAAACTAGGTTTTGGCAATGTACTAATACTAGGTTGTTCTTTGTTGGATAAGTAGAGTTAGTTAAAAGGGTTACCTGCCATATGAACATGTAAAATGACGTTATCGCCGATTTGCTGTCAAGATCAGTCGACTTGGCACGACCCCAAAGTATTAGACCAAGAATCGCATGCCCCAATATCTACATCAATGAAAAAGGCAGCATCTTTATTAATAGAACTCCCACTGTTGACTTTTAAGTCAAATGTATAACTTCAAAGTCGACAAATGATTCGAGAGTCGAAACCCACTTGAATTTTGAACTTGATGACCATATAGGTTCGAGAGAAAAATTTGGATAACTTGAATTAAAATCCAAAACGAATACTTCATATGGGACAAATCTTGGTGCAAACTTGTAACAAGATCCATATCGATTTCAAATTTGAAAGAATATAAGTTTGACCCTAAAAAGTCAATATCTACTAGAAATGAGTGACGATCCATTACCGTTATGTATCTGCTCCAAAGGAATGGAGATGATGCTCCGACTAGAATAGCAACACCATAAGCCACTTCAAGTAACAAGATACAAATCCAAAATACCTGTAGAAAGTTGAGATGTTGATTTACATAATCAAGTTTTTCACAACTTGTAGGTGTATTTGGTAGGTGAGACTAACCCGCTTTTGACCCAAGCGGACCGTAAATGATTGAATTCCAAAAATCTTGTCCCCAACAATATCAGGTATGTCCTGTCAGTAGAATAAGGACAAATGGGTGCTTCACTTTTAATAGTAATATCAAAGGGCAACCTAGTGCATCAAGGTTCTGTACAGGCTGGCAAAGGAAATCTATGAACGTAATATTTCCTTTTAAACCAAACCGAACAAACTCAGTGTATCCCACCCGGAGGTGGGGTCTGGGGACCTGACTTGTATCCCATCGAGTAGAGTGGTTGTTTCCATGAAGACAACCGGCTTGTGGAAGTGTCTATTGAGTAACAATAACCACTTATAAGTAGTTTACCTTGAACAATGCTATAACAACAGAGAAGAAACTCATAAATCCGGTTGCAAATATCACAGACTTCGGAAACACAGCAAGTCTTCCATACACAAAAGTCTAAAAATTAGATAAGGTTAGAAATCAAGTGAAAGTAAACGCATTAAAATTATCATAATTCTCTCCAAGAATCACAAGAACTACCATCTTTGTCCCATAAAAATATCGAAATTTGAAGTCGGAGGAAAGTATTCGTTTTTTAAGGGAACCATGTGGATGTAGACCAATATCACGATGAGCAATAAGTAATTTTAACCATGTTCTGAACAACGGAAATGTCAAAAAAAATTCATGGGACATCACAAAAATGGAAACTGTTGCAAATTTCATAGGATGGATTAGAAAATAGCTGTGTGGAGAAAGAAAATACCTGAATATGTAGGTAAAATGCAATTTGAACTATTATAGCTCTTACAGCTAGAATGCACATTGCTGCAACGAGAGCAAATCGCTTCCATCTCAACATCGGTACCTTAAAGTCGTACACGTCTTAGAAAACAATTATAATTTATAATAATTGGTATAGCGGCCACTTAATTACCAATAAATCATCAAAAACAATTTTCTTAATCTAGGGAAATACCATTTGTTCATTATTAATCTATATCAAATCGTAGCTTTAACCTAAACCACTCCTAGGTAAAAAGAAACTTCACTGCATCATATTTGCATGACATATGCTCCCTAGAGGAGTTTCACGGTGTTCTATATTCAATTCGAGCATGTGAGTGAAAACCCGTAAGATTTCAGTATTAATATATCTATTTTGCTTTCTTTTGAGTTCACTTTTCGCCTACATTCATGAAGTCCAGTGCTAAATGCCAACACATCTTGTCGAAGCAATACATTGAACTAGTATAGGAATATACCGTCGTACTTATACCTGCACCATAGAAATATGGATGTGTATAAATTGTTGAAATTCAACAAGATCAGAAGACTATCGACATTTCAATGTGATGCTAGTTAAAGATGTATACATTATGATAGTGGAACCAATGGTTTGGTTGATAAGAGGAATTGAACTTGCTATTTAATGATGCTGATACGAGTGTACATGTTAAATTTGTTCATATTTGAGCTTATAATATATTTCATGATTGACAACCATGAGTGGATTAATCTCTACTTATAACGATGACCGGAAAGGATTTTTGTAAGGACTAAAACAATGAACAAAGTATGTGGTTTAATGTGGACACTTGAACTCTGACTAGTATGCTTATATGTTAAACATCTAACTTAGGGGCCATTTACTGGTAAGCTCAAAATGGATTGTTGGTAAGCGTCTCTTACCCCGTAAACGCTAACCAGGTAAGAGTCTTCTCCCTCACTTACTGGGTAAGGTTCTTGGTCTTTGCTATGCCTCTTACTGGGTAAGATTCTCGGTTCTTACCATGCTCACTCGGTAAGCGTTTGGTAAATGGCCCCTTAATCATACTTGATGTATGTGCACCATAGGAATACGGATGTGTATATGTTAGTAGGGGGTTATTCAGTTGCAACTTAATGGGCTGAATAGGGTGTAAAGCTTATCCGGTAAGCCATTTAAACCTGTTCGGTTGTGGCTTAATCGGGCAGCCAAGGGCTTATTCGGTCAGCTAGGGAAGGGGGTGTTGTTTACATTCAGCCCATTTTTTCCATCCATACCCTTTGTAAAAAAAGGCTCTCCCTCCTGAAACACGTTCCCCTCTCCCTCCTTGAAACACTCTCCCTTCTCCCTCCCTGAATGAGGTTCTCGTTCTCCCTTCTGGCTGCTACCGTCCCTGCATTGTTATTGTTCCTCTGTTGTCGTTCCTCTTCATCAATTTCCTCATCTACTTCTGCTATCTGATTCTTGGTAGGTTTGTTAATATACTCTTACAGGGATAATAGGTTAGGGCACCAACACCATGGAAGATAAACATTGATAAGTGCAGAACCATTAAAACCATGGATTAAATGGAAGATAAACATTGATAATTAGTTTATATCATAAACCAGTTCCAAGATTGTCCGTTACTAATGGGTGATTGTATCCGAGAGGTTACCCTACTCCCGATGAGTATGGATCACTTCGATTTGATTCTCAGAGTGGATTGGTTATCTCGACCCTAGGCCACCATTAACTGCGAAACAAAGAAGAATCTCTTTGGGGACGTGAATCAACCTGAAGATGTATATCAAGGATCTGAACCAAAATGGGGCTCCCGAGTTGTCTCATCTTTTAAAGCTAAGACGTTTATATGGCAAAGTAGTGAAGGTTTCTTGGGTGCACTTATGGATGTTGGAGAGGTAAATTGTAAACTCAAATCTATTCCTGTTGTTAATGAATTTCAGGACATGTTTCTTGATAAACTCCCAGGACTCCCTCCTGAACATGAAGTTGAGTTTTCTATTGAATTGATTCCTCGAACGAGTACTATCTCGAAGGCTCCTTATCGAATGGCTCCATTAGAAATGGAGCTAAAGGAGCAGATCTAGGACTTACTCAAAAAGAGTTATGTACAACCCAACGTCTCTCCATGGGGCGCACCTGTATTATTCGTGAAAAAGGACAATTCAATGTAATTATGTATTGACTATCGCGAACTGAATCGGGTCACTGTGCACAACAAATATCCGTTGCCCCGAATCGATGATTTATTCGATCAGCTCCGGGGACAAAGTTCTTTTCTAAAATTGATTTGAGGTCCGCAGCTCAGATTTCGGGAACAAGATATACCTAAAACAGCATTTCAGACCAGGTAGGGCCACTACGAGTCATTATTATGCCAGTTGGTTTAACGAATACCCCAGTTGTCTTTATGTGCCTCATGAATAGAGTGTTCAAGGATTATCTAGACGACTTCGCGATTGTATTTATCAATGATATCCTAATCTACTCTAAATCAAAAGAGAATCACATTAGTCATCTGTGTACAGTACTAAAAGTTCTCGGACAAAGAAATTGTACGCTAAATTCTCAAAGTGTGAGTTATGGCTGGAACAGGTGACTTTTCTGGGTCACATCATATCAGCCAACGGGGTGAAAGTCGATCCTGCCAAGGTCGAGGCTATCGCTAAATGGCCTATACCAACCACTATATCCGAGATATATGGTTTTCTTGGTTTGGCAGCTTATTAGAGACGGTTTGTGGAAATTTTCTCAAAGATCGCAATGCCTTTGACCCAATTATTACGTAAAGGCATAAAGTTTGTATGGGGTGAGGCTCAGGTTCGCAGCTTCGAGGAACTTAAACAGCGACTTGTGACGGGAGATTTTAGCATTACCTTCTAGTACTAGTGGATTTCAAGTGTATAGTGATGCATCACGTCATGGTTTAGGTTGCGTTTTGATGCAAACATGGAAAGGTTATCGCTTATGCCTCGCGTCAATTGAAACCATACGAGGTGAATTACTCGACCCATGATCTCGAGCTCGTGGCAGTTATCGTTGCCTTAAAAATTTGGCGGCAATATCTTTATGGTGAGACCTGTGACATCTTCACAGATCACAAAAACCTAAAGTGTATATTCACCCAAAAAGAACTAAACATGAGAAGGCAGAGATGGCTTGAATTACTCAAAAATTATGACGTTCGTATTCAGTACCATCCTGGTAAGGCGAATGTCGTGGCCGATGCGTTAACACGTAAAAATATGGGGGAAATTTCATGTTTAATGGTACCGTCCAAGATTGCAAAAGATTTAGAACGACTTCAAATTCGGTTATGTCCTTATCGTAAAAAAGGGTTGTGTGAAGTCCAATATTCATACAAACATGATAAGATCTTCACAAATCAAGATGAATAGAATAGTAGAGAAAATATCATCAAAGGTTGATTTGATTGAGAGAGAGAAAATTACAGCTCAAATCTTSATTACAAWMTGCTAAKTACTTGGTAATGACAATTACAATGAAAATACTATTTATACTAAGGAAAATAGTAAAGCTACACTATTACAAGGTAAGTAAACTAAGGAGAAATTTGAATACA